GGGACTGGGGATGGCGTTGGTGTTCGAAATTGGGCTTGTGACCGTGAATCTCATTAAAATTTAAAAAACAGATGTGACGTCATCCATTGATGTTGGCGTACCATTATTTCAAATAATGTTACGGACAAGGTGTCAAGCGTACATTATTTATACTACTTGAAATGTTGGACCCACGTGACGTATTTCATTGCAAAGCACCTGCGAGTATCTGTATCTTATGTTGTTTAATGGTCTCCAGCTTAAGACATTGCATAATATATAGGAAAAAACAACTCGGGACTAACGTCCCTCGTGTTGTTTCAATATATTACTTAATGTCTCAGTCTGGACCATTTAACCACATATATTCCTTGGACTAGAAACATGATTGTCACGTCACAGAAGAGCGTAAAGATACAACTGAACAGGTCACAAAATGTTCACAATGGAAACAAATACCACCGAATTATGTATTATAAAACAGTACACGATTACAAAAACTATATCAATTTTGTCAAACTTTTTAAAAATTTATGGTGTCGAGTTAAAAACCTATGTAAATTAATATCGATGATTGTAAATAAGTTTAAATGAACCGTCCAAAGTAACTGTATCATAAAGTCTGTCATTGAGTCGACTGCCGTGGTTTCGAATCCCCGGTTGTACGTTACAAGGAGTAGGGTCGCCTGTCCAACCTCGTGGGTTATCTCGGGGTCCGCCGGTTTCCTCCAACTGCTAAAGACCCCTACGCGCAAGCGAATTATTGAAATAAAACTGAACCATATGTTAGTCCCGAAATGACCTAGTTTGTGTCGAGTTGACGTTAAACCTCATTTCTCCCTCTCTCTCCCTTTGAAACATATAGAAGCATGTAATTTTGTTAATAGCTTCATTTGTTTTTTCGTGTCTCTGTTGAAGGGTTCGATGGACTGGAAAGCTTAGAATACATATGATTTTCTCGATTTATTTCAATCTGATTAAAACACAGATCCTATTTCGTTTCGTTTTTATAGTTCACAATTTTGTTTGACTTGTCTTTACTACGGTAGGACCTGGAAGAGTTGTTATCATTGACGTAATCTGAATGGTGTGGGAGATTAGCCATTGACACGGCCTGTTACGACGAGCTTTAGGCGTGTTTTGCACGGAACTGTGGGTAATCCACTAGTAACATCAATGGTTATTGGTTAATCAAATGTCTGACGTCATAGACTCAAAAGCCGCTCGTATGACCTCTGACATGACCTATCACAATTACTAGTCAGATCTTCATGTAGTGTAGGCCATCAAAAGTATAAAAAACGAAACGAAATATAGATCTGTATTTGAATCAGATTGGATTTATGTGTTAATTTATTTCCTTGTCTGGATATATGTTTTTAATTGGAATATGAATGTAGCATATTGTCCAAAATCTGAATTTGACTGTATGGATTATTTTTTGTAAATTGTATTCATATGTTTCATTGTGAGATCTGAATAAAGATTATTATTATAGTCTAAATGACATTACCAGGTGTTTCAGAGAGAGTATGTATACCCTACCTGCTATACGACACCAGCTGCTACTGGAAGCTAAATAAGGCCTTAGTGTTAAGCAATAATCTAAATTAATGACCAGCAGAGAAATCGTCGATTTGAGAATTAAAATGTCGACCAACCAGCTTCGTGTCTGTTGTCAAGTGGCGCTAACTGTAGACAGACGGCGTAAGTTTAGTATGATTGAAATTTTGCCTTTCTTTATTGCAGACTGTACTACGTCACCACACCGGGAAGGGGAAGTAATGGGTTTGATGCATTTGCTGAATCCTAATATTTGTGTAAATAACCAATATGGCGATGCTGATTGTATGAATGGAGAGATATTGTTATTAAGAGGTATTTCATGATAATAAGACAATATAGTGATACTTATTCTATTTTTCGAAACTGACAAGAGGGTTCGATGGCCGAATGGTTAGCACATGTCATTGAGTCAACTGACGTGGTTTCGAATCCCCGGTTGTACGTGACAAGGAGTAGGGTCGCCTGTCCAACATCGTGGGTTTTCTCCGTTATATGACCTTTGTTTATTTGTTTCACCAATCCTCTGAATCTGTGAGTTGTATTCATGGCCACCCCCAGTGCTTTTGCACGAAAACACAGCATCTTGATTTCGACAGAATCGCTGGCACAAGCGAAAACAAACCACCCGTGTGCATAGGCTTTAGATAATGTTAGACCAGCGCAAAAGTCGGTCTTATGCTAATGTAATGGGACCGGTTCCGTGTAAGCTTTTCAGCCCGATGGGCGAAGTGTGCGCATGCGTGCAAAACGGATGTTTATGTTCTGGCGTACCAACAAGGGTTGTCTTTCACAAAATCAATCTTCTGTTTTTTCTACTGCAAATTTAGCTTACAAATGGCCCCGTGTTGTAAAGCTAAACCCTCACCTATGACGTCATTTACATGGGATATTTCTGTACACACTGAAATACAAAAATGTCGTTTATTCCGCCGACAGAAACGTGTACATAGAAAGCGGACCTTAAAGAGACTGCAACTCGCTTATTACATATCCATTTTGTTTTTTTGGGGTTTTTTTTGGGGGGGGGGGGTTAATAAAAATGAGACTGACTTATGAACAGGCCCCTAATACGAATGACGCAGCCTAGAGCCGTGCACCGCAGGCGCGGGCTTTCCAGAGAGGCCCGGGGACATGCCCCCCCCCCACCGAGAAATTTTTTAATGTAGCACTGTGAATCTGTGACAACTTAAGAAAGTGATAATAAACAACACTTTGTGGAGACCGGGATCCGACTTTTGGCGTTCATAAGTTCAGCAATTCTTTGCTAAATGTCGAGTAGGGATATTTGCATAATCCATTTTCCCCCTTTTTCGCCAATATCTTATGTTATTCCACTGTTTTATGCATTGTTATAATTTACTTATATATTATTATTTCGGTGGGGGATTGGATGGCCGAATGGTTAGCACGCGCGCGCTGTATCATACGGTCTGTCATTGTGTCAACTGGCGGGGTTTCGATTCCCCGGTTGTACGTGACAAGGAGTAGTGGCCGCCTGTCCAACCTCGTGGGCTTTCTCCGGGTACTGTGGTTTCCTCCCAATGCTAAAGACCCCTACGCGCAAGCGAATTATTGAATAAAATTGAACCATGTGTTAGTCTCGAAATGACCTAGTTTGTGTCGAGCCGAAAATTGCATGTTAACTTCCAGCTTGTGTATCTCAAGTTTTTCATGAAGAACCTCATACGTGCTTTAGTGCAAGAGATTGCCACATGTTGCTACATCTGTAGTAGAAAGTGTTCTGCCCAACGAAAATTTGGGAAAAAGTTATAGCCGGACTTAGAGACGAGAATCAACATTGGAGTCAATGGGGAAATCTTTAGTGATCTGTGTCTATATGATTGGTGTTGCTTGATAATTATGCACTAGGAGATCGAGAATAAAGATGGCGCCTCAAAGATTGATAGTATTAATTGTTCTTCCTATAAACCCCGTTGTGGCTACCTTGTTCTGAAATGATTAATGATTGAAGGGAGACAACTCTTGTTTTCTTTTGACTCTCTTTTTTTGGAGTTAAAAAAAATGTTGTAAGAAGTTGAGTTGGCAGCCATATTTTGAAACCATGTGTTTTTCTTTGTAAAATCTTGTATAGTCAAGATGTGAGTACTGAGTATAGAAAGGCAACAGCCTTTAATAAACATGTTTCCTATATAATCGAGTATCGTTTCTATAATCCAAAACATGGTCCGACGAGACGGATACAGTTATGTCAGTCAATCTCTTGAGTTAAGTTCATGTGCCAGTCGACCTTATTATCTTAATCCTATAAAGTATTGACATTTATTATCATGTCTACGACCAGTAACGACGCAGACAGGCGTAGTGATGTGGCCAAGAAAAACAAACGCATCAGAGGGGGACATAGGGCCTTTGTTACCCGAATTATTCAAAGTGTTCAAGAATTATTAGCCGAATTTGATGGATCTCCTTCTTCAGTTGAAAGTTTAGAAGGATACAGAATTTCTTTAACGGAAAAGAAAGTTGTTTTAGCATCTTACGATGAAAAAGTATTGGAAGATATTGAAGACGAAGATGAAGTGGGTAATGATATTTTTGAATCAAGTGAATTTGCGGACACTATTAATAGAACTTTATATAAAATCAAATTTTGTTTACATAAGAATGAGAAGGCCAGTGAAAAATTGAGTACCAGTATAGCTGATAATTCTGATTTGAGTAGCCCTAGTAATTCATTGAAAGAAACTTTTGTCTGTAAGACTAAATTGCCAAAATTGTGTTTGCCTAGATTTTCTGGTGATTCAAAGTTGTGGCAGCCTTTTTGGGATAGCTTCCAGGCTGCAGTAGATAATAACAGTGCCATTTCAAATGTTGAGAAATTTAATTATTTAAAGAGTCTGTTGGACGGACCGGCATCTTCTTGTGTAGCAGGTTTGTCCTTGATAGGCGAAAACTATGATGCAGCAATTCAGCTTTTAAAAGATAGGTTTGCAAATAAGCAAGTTATTATTTCTGGGCATATGGACGTTTTACTAAATTTACAATCTGTTACGAGTGGTTGTGAAGTTAAACATATTCGCAGATTATACGACACCATTGAGGTCCAGATACGAAGTCTAAAATCTATGGGTGTACAGTCTGAATCGTATGGTAATATTCTTATTCCTATTATCATGAATAAACTTCCTGAAGAGTTACGTTTATTTATTAGCCGTGGAGTTAAAGATTGGAGTGTGGACGAGGTCTTAGATATTTTAAAAACTGAACTTGAAGCTAGAGAGCGAGTCGATTTAATGCATAGTAATTCTACCAAGAAATCCGGGTATTCTTTGAACAACGTATACAGTCCTCAATCCAGATCGAACCGGGTTAATCCCTCAACAGCTTCAACTTTATTTTCGAGTAAAGATCAAAGACCTGTTCCGTACTGTGTGTTTTGTACTCAGCAACACCCATCTGTGAATTGCACTTCTGTTACCGACATTTCAGCTCGCAAATCTATTTTACGTCATAAAGCAAAGTGTTTTTTGTGTTTGCGCTCTGGACATGTGTTACGAAATTGTCCTAATCGTGACTATAAATGCTTTAACTGCGGAGAAAGACACAATAAAGCCATTTGTACTTATAGGCCTGAACAAAATTTAAGGCGGCCTAGTTATGTTAATAAAACTGAAACCGGACAACCGAGTCAAACTGTGACATCTAACATGACGTGTACAGATGATCAAAATTCTATTTTGTTACAAACTGCTGTAGGTTTTGTATGTGCTAATCATAATGATAATTCTAGGGGATTGTATAAGAACATTGTATTTGATTTGTGTAGTCAAAGAACATATGTTACTGATGAAACACGTAGATTGTTAAATTTAAGAACTGTGGGGCGTGAAAATTTACTTATTAAAACTTTTGGGGAGGAAACTCCTAAGTTACGATTATGTGATATTGTTCAATTTACTGTTGCAGGTGATGATGGTTTACATTTGTATGTTACAGCGCATTGTGTACCTTCTATATGCAATGCCATAAGCGACCAATTAACATGTAATGCTTTAGTAAAGTACCCTCATCTACGGGGTTTGAAATTAGCTAATCCATCTGGGCCTTCTGATTTTGCAGTAGATATATTAATCGGGGCAGATTTCTATTGGAATTTCTTTTGTGGCGAAACGAGACGGGGGGAGTTCCCTGGCCCGGTTGCAATGTTGACGAAACTTGGGTGGGTGCTGTCTGGCCCTGTAATTAATAATTCGAGTAGTGACCAATGTACTATTAATTTAAGTCATACGCATGTATTGCACGTTAGTTCTGTATCTGATGACAATTGTGATGTATCTTCAATTAAGTCTGAGTTGAATAAGTTTTGGGAGCTTGAATCTTTGGGTATTCGTAATGACGAATCTAGTGTTTTGTCAGATTTTAATGATAATATCACATTTGAGGGTAAAAGGTATGAAGTGAAGTTACCATTTAAAGAAAATCATCTTAAAATATCTGATAATTATTCTACGTGTGTTAAACGCTTATCATCTCTTTTGTATCGACTTAATAGTAAGCCGGATGTTCTTAAAGAATATGATAGAATAATTAATGAACAATTATCTGAAGGTATTATTGATATTGTAAATGATGATGATGTAATAATTAATTCTGGATCAATACATTATATTCCGCACAGAGAAGTTTTACGCTTAGATAAGGACACAACTAAGTTAAGAGTTGTGTATGATGCCTCGTGTAAAACAAGTGGACCTAGTCTTAATGAGTGTTTATACTCGGGCCCTTCTTTAAATCCGCTTATTTTCGATATTCTCCTTCGTTTTAGAATGAATTCCATCGCTCTGACTGCTGACATACAGAAGGCATTTTTGAACATTGCCATTTATAAAGAGCATCGAGACTTTCTTAGATTCTTATGGGTTGATGATCCATTTAGCGAGTCACCTAAAATTAAAGTGTTTAGATTTAATAGAGTGGTCTTTGGAGTGACTTCAAGTCCGTTCATTTTAAATGCAACCCTTCGTTATCACTTAAGTAATTCTATGGATGATAACTTTGAAATTTTGAATAATATTCTTAAGTCATTGTATGTTGATGATTTTGCTTCTGGGGCAGATAATGTAAACTCTGCTTATGATTTATGTAAATTAGTTAAATTATGTTTAAATCAGGGTGGATTCAATATGAGAAAATGGTGTAGTAATTCGCAAGTGTTAATGTCTATGCTGCATGAGTCCAGTGATTTTCCTGAAGTAGAATTTGATGTTAAGAAAATGGAGACTGATGTAATCGAAGACGATACAGGTTATAATGATTTTGTTCAGAATTCAAATTTTGATTGTAACAGTGTTTTAGGTCAAAAGTGGGATAATAGCGCTGATATGTTTCAATTCGAATTTGATAAAATTTTGTCAAGTATGATTGTTAATGCAACTTTAACTAAAAGACAGGTTCTTAGTACAACTGCGAAATTCTTTGATCCAGTTGGTTTAATATCACCTATTGTATTACTGTTTAAGCTATGTTTTCAAAAGTTGTGTGAAAATCCTTTAGACTGGGATGATCCGTTAGATAATAATTTTTGTGATTATTGGAATAATTTAGTGTCTAGCCTATCTGCTGTAAAGGCTTTGCACATTAACCGCTGTATTTGTTATGAACTACGGCAAGCGAATTCTATTCAATTTCATGTATTCGGTGACGCTTCCGAAAAGGCGTATGGTTCTTGTGTATATATCAGATGTGAACATTCAGATACTAAAGAAATACACTGTAATTTAATTGCCTCTAAAACGCGTGTGGCGCCTTTAAAGAAACAATCTATACCCAGACTTGAGCTACTAGCATGCTTAATATCTGTTAGACTAGCTGCATGTGTAAAAGAAGCTTTAAAGGACATCGTAGATGCGCCTGTATATTTTTGGTCTGATTCTCAAGTCGCGTTATCTTGGATTAAAAATACTACTCGTGAGTTTAAGCAGTTCGTGAATAATCGTGTGGTTGAAATTCGTGATTCTTCTGACGTTAGTAAATGGTCTTACTGCTCAACTAAAGAAAATCCTGCAGATGTTGCTTCACGTGGATGCAAGGCAGTAGAATTGGTAAACAATGATCTATGGTGGCATGGACCACCATACTTGCTAAGTTCGACAGAGAATTGGCCGAGGAACGTTGAAGAAACTTTGAGTGAACCATTTTATTCTGAAGTTAAGAAAGCAACTGTTTGTGTCGCAAATGTCGAAACTAATCACAATATCGAAAATATACTAGACGTTTCCCGCTATAGCAACTTTAATAGCCTACTAAGAGTGACTGCTTATGTTTTGCGTTTCGTGAAGAATAAAAGAGACAATGTACAAGTCCAAACAGATCAATTGTCCAAGGAAGAAATTAATTGTGCCGAAAATATCTGGTGCAGAGATATTCAACATAGTTTGAGTGGCCGTAAATTTGAGCAACAGAGGCTATCGCTTAATTTAAAACCTGATGACAATGGTATTTTGAGATGTTATGGTCGTATAGATAATTCTAATTTGCCGTTTGATGCCAAATTTCCTATTTTCCTACCAGATTCTCATCGTTTTACGAGTTTGATTATTGAAAAGTGTCACCGAGATGTGCATCATAATGGGACAGCAGAGACTTTAGTTCAGTTGCGCCAAAAGTTTTGGGTTTGTCGCGGACGACAAGTTGTTAAAGCTGTGATTACTAAATGTATTCCTTGTCGTAAAATGGAAGGTAAATCTTATGGAGTTCCGTTAGCGCCTCCTTTACCAGAATTTCGACTTTCTGACGATTTCGCTTTTACAAATATTGGAGTGGACTATGCTGGACCATTATACGTTAAAGACATTTATTCTAAGAGTGGAGAGATGAACAAGGTGTTCATAGTGTTGTATACTTGTGCGAGTAGTCGCGCGGTTCATTTAGATTTAGCAACGGACGCTAGTTCTTCCTCTTTTATTAGGAGTTTTCGACGTTTTATTGGAAGGCGTGGAGTACCAACTTTAGTGAATTCAGACAATGGATTGGTTTTCAAGAGTGCTGAACTTCGAGCCTTTACAAATAGTAGGAACATTAAATGGTGTTATAATATTGAACGATCCCCATGGTGGGGCGGATTTTTTGAGCGTATGGTGCGTTCAACTAAACGATGCCTGAAAAAAGCTTTAGGTAATGCTCATTTGTCGTATGAGGAGCTACTGACTTTATTAGTGGACATTGAAGGCGTTTTAAACTCGCGTCCTCTTACATATCTTAGCGATGATTGTATAGAACCCCTAACCCCTTCGCATTTAGTATTGGGGAGAAGGATATTGTCTGAACCGCTGTTTACTCCAAATCCTAAAGTAGTTGGTAATACCTCTTCAGAATTCTGCAAGCGCAAGAAATACTTGCAGACTGTTATAAATCATTATTGGTCAAGATGGCGGAATGACTATGTTACTCAATTACGCGAGCATCATCGTTCCAGAGTTAAAACAGGTCCTATCATACGTGAGGGTGATATTGTGCTAGTATTTGATGATAAAGTATCGCGCTTAAATTGGGAAATGGGTAGAGTTGATAGAATTTTACCAGGTCGTGATAATAACGTGCGATCCGCTGTTGTAAGAGTTCAGAACAAACAGGGCAAAATAATATTTATGAATCGACCTATACAGAAATTGTATCCAATAGAGTTGGTTAGAGATTAGTAGAGAATGTATCTTATTATTGATAAGTATTGGAGTACACAGTTAGAAATCAGTGTTATATATGTATTTACGAGTTTAGAATCTTAGTACATGTAACGAGTTTAGAATCTTAATATTTTGAGTATAGAATCTTAGTATTTGAGTATAGAATCTTATAGAGTAATGCATCTTAAAGAATAGTATCCAAGATATAGAGTTTTGTTATTAAGAGTTCAAATCTCAAGAATTATGTTAAATTTTAGTGTATTTTATTGACCTCGCGTCAATAAGGGGGGAGTGTGTTCTGAAATGATTAATGATTGAAGGGAGACAACTCTTGTTTTCTTTTGACTCTCTTTTTTTGGAGTTAAAAAAAATGTTGTAAGAAGTTGAGTTGGCAGCCATATTTTGAAACCATGTGTTTTTCTTTGTAAAATCTTGTATAGTCAAGATGTGAGTACTGAGTATAGAAAGGCAACAGCCTTTAATAAACATGTTTCCTATATAATCGAGTATCGTTTCTATAATCCAAAACATACCTCGCTACACCCCCCACGTAGCCGCAACATAATATTGAATATTATCCGCAATCAAAGAAGTCATATTCATATATATTAAACATACATTATGCAAGAGCTAAATCTGCCTATTGCAGGTCTTTCTTTAGGCCTGAAATATTATATAAACTATTAATTAGACATTTATTAACATGGCAAGACCTTAATCAACTCTCGATGTCAAAGCTAGCCAGCGATGTTTACTGGATTAGGATACCATTTGCTGTTCCACTTTCATTCTTGATTTAATCATGAAATGGATAATCCTGACTATGTTTTTTTTCGTACCGACTTTAGTAATGATGATCGAGGCTAGGCCGAATATTCAATCGCTAAAATCTCGGTTCAGAGTGGATCAATTTGAATGAAATTTCAGCAAATTCCCTTTACATTATCTAGTTTTTAACTATTATAGTGAGAACTGCCAACTCGTTATCTAATCTCCCATAATGTATCTTTAAAGGAGCTAAATCGCTAATATTTCGACCTAGAAATTGACACAAATGGGTCGCAACGTATATAATAATGTAATATGAATGTAAATAAACTGATTTACATTCAGTCGTTTCCGTTTTTACTCTAATTTCAAAGCAGTTATGTTCGGCGAAATACGCCAGAAGTCTCAATCGAATGGCAATCTCTAGCGACTGGTTATTCCAGTCTACTCCGATAGTATTTATTGCACATGCTCTCCAGATAAGAATATCGCAGACAAGTATGGGGGTCACCGTTTGACATGACTTGTGGAATATGTCTAACCTCGTTCCTCGAGTCGCTTGTTACAAATTGCGCTGAAACGCATTATGGTACACGATTCGTGTACCAATCGTAAAAAGTCTGGCATGTTTAAACCCGAATCAGCGACTCATATTACTTTCTATTTCTTTTAGAGATTATGAAACTACGTTCTCGGGATATTGGTGGACATTTTACTGATGATGCATATTATAGGGCGTTGTCACGTGTATTACGTGATGATACCTGTGAAGCAGGTGTATTAAACGACTTCCTGTGTATTGATAAAAATAGAAATGGGCAAATTGATAGAGACGGTAAATATATGTTTTTAATACATGTAATATATAGAATGGTAAAAAACAGCGTCCCTTCGTTCGGATGGACAGAGAAACCGAGGTACACACTGGCGTGCACGTAAAAGAACCCAGAGTAGTTGGAGCTGACGATGAACAGCGTCCAGTCGTTTGGGTGGGGCGAAAAACCGAGGTACACAGTGACGTGCACGTAAAAGAACCCAGAGTAGTTGGAGCTGACGATAAACAGTGTCCAGTTGTTTGGGTGGTGCGAAAAACAAGAAACTAATATTGCGATCTGATTGAAATACAGATCTATATTTCGTTTCGTTTTTTATACTTTCGATGGTCTACACTATATGAATATCTGACTAGTGGTGGTTGAAGGTCGCATCAGGTGTCATACGAGCGGCTGTTGACCCTGTGATTTCAGACATTGATTAATCAATTAGCGTTGACGTTTCTAGTGGTTTACCAAAAGTTCAGTGCATCTCACGTCAAAAACTCACCGTAACAGACCGTTTCATTGGCTAATCCTTCACATCATCCAGAACGCTGGTTATATAACAACTCTTCCAGATCCTAGTGTAGTAAAGACAAGTAAAACAAGATCTTGAACTATGAAAAAACGAAACGAAATAGGATCTGTGTTTTAATCAGATTGCTAATATTGTGACCCTTTTTTCGTTCTTAATATACTTTTCAAAAAAAGTAGGGGATATTTGATTTTTAAGTGTTATTAAAGTCACCTAATGAAACTGACGAAGAAACAAATGACAAAATGAAATGAAGTTCACATTCATCGATTTATTCCAAATGATCGTTAGACTAAGTAAGGCACAGACTGACCATTATAAGGGTAAAATGATACCCGGGGTCAAACAGCAAAGTTACCACAGCATGACAACCAAGTCAGTAACGGGTAAATCCTCCTCTGTTTGCCAAACAAGCATTGATCCGACGTGGCATACTCCTAATGAGACGTCTAAGGTCATTTTGGTCCAGATTGTCCCATTCCTGTTGCAACGCAGCAGCAAGTTCTTGGACATTGGCAGGACGTTGTTGACGTTGACGTAACCTCTGTCCAAGCATGTCCCAGACATGCTCGATGGGGGAGAGGTCGGGACTCAGTGCTGGCCAAGGTAATGTGGTGATGTTCTGTTGTTGGAGGTAACCTGTAACGATCCTGGCCCTGTGACATCTTGCGTTGTCATCCTGGAAGATGAAACGGCGGCCATGACGTCGTGCGAACGGCACAACATGGACTACCAAGATGTTTATCCGGTAGTACTGGCCTGTAACACGCCCTGCAACAACATGTAAAGCCGTTCTTCCAGCAACAGTGATGCCTCCCCACACCATAACAGAACCACCCCCAAATCGATCATGTCTGATGACGTTAACGTCTTGGAAGCGCTCGTTTCGACGACGCCACACCCTCCTACGTCTGTCCAAAAAATCAACAGTGAACCTTGACTCATCTGAAAACATCACATTGCTCCAGCGTCGATTATCCCAGTGTTGACGATCCCTACACCAACGACGTCTTGCCTGAATGTGATGATCTCTCAAACAAGGGATCACGCGAGGACGTCGGGCGCGAAGGTGACCCCTATGCAGTCGATTCCGAATCGTCTGGCCACTCACTCTCACACCAGTGTCTGTTTGAAGACGAGCGCTGATCTGATTTGCTGTGATGACACGATTTCTCAAGGCCAAGGTACGGATAAATCGATCCTGGGCTTGAGTTGTCGCCCTTGGTCGATCTGAGCGTGGTCTGTCCTGTACAGATTGTGTATCACGGTATCTGGACCATAGCCTGCTTATGACAGACTGAGAAACATTCATCGTCCGCGCCACAACCGCCTGTGTTGTGCCGATCTGTAGCATGCCAAGGGCACGTAACCTTTCATTTTGGGTAAGCCGACGCATATCAAAATTTGTTTTCTGGTCACTAAAACAATTAAACTGATGTTTCCACCCTGGAATTCAATGCCACAATGACTGTAACATTCAAAGTCAGAGTCGTGCAAATCTTGGGTTGGACCCCCATGATGATCCCAAGCATCACCTGCATTCCATGCGGTAGCTATTGGTGCGTTTGGGCGTCACATGTAACTGGAAATGTTACTTCTGTTAGGTTCTATAGTGACTTTTTTCGTAGTCATTTGCATATTTTAGTATTATGCCCCCAAAATCAAATATCCCCTACTTTTTTTTGAATAGTATATATACATTGTCCATTCCAGAAATTAGAGGAATCGAAGTGAATGCCAATGAGGTGTAATGGAGCTGAATATAACAGGACAATCGGGTAAGATTCAAATTCGGGGGTAGACCAAATGGTCTACAGTGTCGCACATCGAGCTCCACCGGGTTTACGGTAGTGAAGTTGATCCCCGGTGTGAGCGAACGTATGTAGCTTGCTGATAGGGGCGCCTTCGCAACCTCGTGGGTTTACTCCGTATAAACTAAAATTAGACATCTTGTCTGCATCACCTTCGGTGGAAGCGGACGTTAAACCCATACGAACGACAACAAGCTTCTAATCCACTGTCGTATGCAAAAACTAAGAAAAACCTATAAGTTATGCTTTGACTATTGGAGAAGGGGGGGGGGGATGGATGGCCGAATAAAGTCTGTCATTGAGTCAACTGGCGTGGTTTCGATTCCCCGGTTGTACGTGACAAGGATTAGGGTCCAATCTCGTGAGTTTTCTCTGGGTCCTCCGGTTTCCACCAACTGCTAAAGATCCCTACGCGCAAGCATATGTTAATCCCAAAATGAACTACTTTGTGTCAAACCCTCGTGCTTAATTCCCCGCAAACACCCTTATAGATTCAAGGTGGGGAGGGGAGGGAGGAGGGGGCGATGGCTTTCTGAGTATGCCGCTACATCAATAGCTGTGATATCCCAGGTTTGATCCAAATATTAGCCGAGACAGTTCCTCGAGATATCCTAACCTGGTTTCCCGGCAAAGACTAAAAGTTAATGTCCATTGCAGATTTCTTCATAGGTCACCAGATCTGAATAGAGTTGGGAAAGGTGATTGTTGACGAGATTGTTAGCCCTCACTCTACCCCGTGCACTAATCCTTATTACATCTCGTGACCTATGACGAAATTTGCAATGGACCTTAGTTTCTAGACCTAATCCTGGTGCGGGATGGAGGGCCTCTAGTGGTTTTGATTGCGCGATAACCGGAGTCCATCTGCTTAAACACGTTATAGATCCCGTGATAATCTGCAATCGAAATACGGATAGGCTATAGCACCGGCTAGCAGTGCAAAATATCCCTCATGTACCCTCTTCATTAGTCGGTTGGCACAAGACGCTAAACCCCGAAAAAAAAACATTGACTTTGCACAGAATACTCTGATATTTGCTACTAGAAACGTCTCTCATTAATAAAATCCTTAATTAATGTTTCATAGAATTATGGCTTGTTTATTATTGGGAGGGGTGGAGGTGGGTGGATGACTAAATGGTCAGCA